AAATAAAATTGTATTTTCCAATGGTGTTTTGGATGAGAGGAAAGTTCTAGATTCTATTATTCTGAGGTCCTGGAAATGGCTATCACTTGTTAGTAAGGGAGAAGCTATTTTGTTAGCTGATTGGTATTTGAACCCACGAAATTGTATCCGTCTTAACTTTGTGTAAGTATATTTTTGCTTTTTATTTCTCTGAGTTAGTAATTTTTTTTCTGTGTATATGGATTTTGAGTTCCCCTTGAACTCTCTCTAATAATATATGTTTTGCTTATAAAAAAAAATTAAAGAAAATCTTAAAGAGTGTCTAAAATATTATTTTTCTAATTGGTGACAAATTATATTTTTTATGCAAACTCTTACAAACACTAAAAATTAAAAAAGTTCGTTTGGCAACTCTTTAACTTTGGATTAGATTTCTTTAATTAGTATAGATTTTTCTAACAAAAAATTAAATTTTTAGTATAAATACTTTGAGTCTGTAGTAACAATACTGTATACTATATTAACAAGTAATTTTATCAGTATATTAAGATACACTATCAATGCATAGCCGTTAAGTACAGTACATTATTTATCAGTACGGGATTTTACATTTTTTACTAAAATCTTTATTTTTGTTAGATAAAATTTATCTTAACACTTAATAATTTGTGTGTGTTAAAAATAGAGAATATTTTGTAATGTAAGTTTATAATTAGTGCTGTGACTAGAATTTTATTCAATGGAAAAAATAAGGAAGCAATTAAGTGTGCAGCAGGCTGCGGTAACATCGCATGGACCAGACCCAAACACGAAATCAGAAAGGTTTGGACCAAACAATTAGTAGCCCATTTCATTTGGGTTTAAGATGTGGCAGTGAAAAATATTCGTCACTGCCCCAAAAATGGAAAACTCCTCTCTTCAATTCAATCCTTTAATATGTTATTTCCTAACATGAAGCGTTCAATACATGAAAGTTGTTTCAGTGCATCGGGAGGTATATTCTTACAATATTCTTTTTATTAAAAGAGAAACGTTACACCATTTTTTAAAAAACCACATTTCTGAAATTTTACGTCTTTAAGAAAATATAAATAAATAATTTGTTTCTTAAGTTATGTTTGAATTTCATATTTAAAAAGAAAGAAAGGTAAAAGAGAAATTTAGTAGAGTTTAATATTTTATTTAGAAGTTAACTAATTATCAGGAGAATGATTCAAAGTTTTTTTTAAGTTTTAAAACTCTTTTAATGTTAATTTTTAAAATTCTCCATTTTAAAGTTTTTTAAATAAAATTTTAAAATGATTAACTTATTTTATTTTTTTTTGAAAAAATGTGATGTTAATTTTAAAAAATAAAAAATAAATAAATACTTTTTTCAAAATATATTAGTTTGTAAAGTAATTTTTTTAAAATTAAAAAAATAAAAATAATTTTTACTTTTTATACTTAAAAATATAAATAAAATATATAAATGATAATAAATTTATTTACATAATTAAACAGTCTGTGACTCTTTCTTCTTAATATTAAACATCTAAATAAAAAAAAATTAACTTTTTTTTTCTCCTTTTCTTTTTCCTTTAAATATTTTCCTTTTTTTCTTCTCCAAATATTTAAACAAAGCATAAATATTCGTACATGCTCTTTAAATGATACTAATTAGTTGTTTATGCAATATATTTTATTTTAATATATATATATATATAATTTAATAATTAAAGAAAAAATTCATAATTTTTTAAATAATTATATATAATAAAATTATTTTAAACATTAAATTTATTTAAAAAATATTTTAATTTAATTTTATATCCATAAATAGTAGGTCTCATAATAACAAAAATTTACTAAAATTATAAATAATTTTAAGTATAATTTATTTAAAACAATAGAAATAATGTATTAAGTGTTATGTAGTTTATATATAAATAAAGATATTTGAAAAATAATTAAAAGTTTATATAACATTGTGAATAACCAATTTTATTCCAATATATCTTAAGATAATAAAATAAAAAATAATAAAATTCAAATTTTAAAAATTAAACTAAAATTAAATATAATGATTAGATTTAATAAGAAATTAAGATAATAAATAAAAATTAATTAAAACAACTCAATTTTTAAAAAAATAAATGGATAATTTTTTTAAGAGTTCAAATGAGTGAATAGATAAAAATTAGTTTAGAAAATTCAAAGGAAAATTTTCTTATTTATTGAATTAAGAAAGAATAATTTGTTTTAGAGAAGAAAAAGATAAAATTTTAACTTTTTTGTTGTTGTAATTTTAATTTAAATGAATTTTTAGTTTAAGTAAAAATGGTTTTCATTAAATTAACTTAAAAAAATTGTTTTATTTAAATAAAAATCACTTTTTCACTTAATCGAATTTAGATTGAATGATCATGTTTATACTAAAATTGTAAAAGAAATCTAAATTCTAATATATGAACAAAATATTTAAAAAGGAAAAAGAAAATATTAAATTTGTTATTAATTAAATTATTAAAAATATTTTTATAGGGAAAGACAAAAAGATATGTTTGATTTTCTTTTTAAAAATAGATTTTTATTTTAAAAATATAGAATAAATTTGTACTATATTTTATGTTCAAAAATAAAAAATTATTTTTAAGAAAGAAATCAACTTAAAAATTTTATTCTTTCATTATTTTCTTCTTCTTTATTTTACTCCACATATCATCAAATCAAATCAGTAGTGTAAGACAATTATCGTAGTTGTCCACTTTAATTAGCAAGACTCACAGATTACGAAAATTTCTGCCTTTTCTGGTTTGATGCAAGACATGTTGAACAAGATCAAAATCCATTGAGAAAATGGAATCCTTCATTTTTTTTAGTGTTCTTTCTCGCATCAACAAAAACAAATTGTGGTCCCCACCCACAATCTTATTTTTCTTCATGAAACATGGCTGAAGTTATTTGTTACTAAAATCAAATTATTTAATTAGCATAAAGCACTTGTTTTATTCCTTTACGTAAATTTTAGAAATTTTTTCCATAAGTGCAAAAAATTATTTTAAAATTTATTTAACAATTAAACTCTAAAAAATTTAAAATGTTAATATTTATTAGTTTAATAATAAAATAATTTAATAGACATAAAAATGTAGACTACCAATAGAAATGAAAATATATTGGGGTTTAATTTAAGTAAAGTTATACAAAAGCACCTGTTGAGAAAAACAAAATAAGATAATTTTTTATAAGTTAAAATCAACTCATATGCCTTATGTTTTAAAGAAGTTAACTAAAAAGCTTCTAAAAATATATTAAAAAAATGAATTAGTTTTAATTTATATAAAAAATTTGATACATTTTTTTTAATCTTTCATAAGTACTTATTCAGAAGTGAAGCTAAATTAAGCTTAAGATGAGTTAAATTTTATAATTCTTAAATCTACTTTGACTCTCCAATTTAAAGTTTAAATTTGACATATTTATTTAAAATAAGTTATTTTCAATATTTGACTTAGTTAAAGTCGTTTTTTCAAATCTAACTTATAATAAATTAGTCAATTGGACTTAAATTACATTCTGGATAATTTGGTGTTTGACTTTTTAATCAAATGTTTTTTAAATATTAACTTATTCAGTAACAAAGCTAAGTCTGTCTAAATTTTTTGAAATATCGAACAAAATTATTATAATAAATTAACAATTTAAATTATTGACTATTATATAATTTTTTTTATCCTTTTGAGTTTAAAATGTTTTAATTAAAAAATGATTTAAAATTTTGTGATATAAATAAGATTGATTGATAGATGATGCTGACATCGTCATTGATAATAATAACCTGCAAATAAGAATACCATGTAAGTGAGATTTTGATGTATATCTTATCTAAATTTGCAACTAAATTTTAAAATTCCCTCCATTTCTTTTTCTCTTCCTTTGTATCCTTGGAATCTTGAAAAACAATCTCTTATATTGTTCAATCACAATTCATGCTTTAAATAATATTCACAAAAAAAAATTTACGTAAAAGTGATATTACATAAAAAAAATAAAATGAAGAAGAACATTCGAGCTTACCACTATAATTTGATGACGAGGAAAGAGAAAAAAGGATAATTTTTTTTATATGAACCCTGCCACGGCCCACGAATGGGGGGAAAGTGTGAGAGAGGAACAGATGGGGGAGGAATCTAGGAAGGGGGGGCGCAAAGTTCGTTTGTTTGTTTTATTATTAAGTAAATCATTAAAAATATTTAAATAATATAAAAAATTAAAATAATTATAAATAAATATATGATACTTTTTTTTGAATTTTTATACTTTTAAAAAGTATTTTTAACATAATTTAATAAATTTTATCTTTTTTATTTAATTAAATAAGCAGAGTAATTTTTTATTTTAGTCCATTCAAATAATATATTTTTGTTTTATTCTATTTTTATTATTCTCATATTTCTTTTTTCTTTATTTCTGTTTTCTTACTTCACATGGACAATTGTCTTACTTGCCTACTTTAGCCTTGTTTGATAAATTTAGCTTTACTTAATCTGACACAAGTTCCATTTTAGGTCCCAATCAACAAGGCTTATAAAAAGTTCTGCCTTTTCTGGTTTGATGAAGGGCATGTTGAAGTGAATAAAAATCAAAACCTATTGAAAAAATGGAATCCTTCCAATTTTTTTGTGTTCCTTTTCGCAGCAACAAAAATATATGGTGGTCCAGACCCGCAATCATATTTTTTTATGAAATATGGTTAAAGTTGTTGGTGACTAAAATCAAATTATTAATTAGCACAAAGCACTTATTTTATTCTTTTTCATAAAACACATTTTAGAAACTATTTTCTTCCATAAGCACAAAAAATATAGCATAGCACAGTCATATTTAATGACACACCGTAAATAGGTGAAACACTAGTTTCCAGCATGGCGTTAAAACGCTGACTCAGAAAGGAAAAGTCTATCCTGAAATGCAATGTGGGTCATCTCCGGATTTGGCCTTTCGTACCTAATATAACGAAGGTTGAATCATCCATGACCGTGAATTCAAACTTGAAAACTTGCCCCTTGAGATTTTACCCACACGCTTACAAGGCACAACAGAGAGAAGCCTAATAACAAATAAGGATATCTACAATATAATACTCAGCATCACCCATCACCACCCACCCATTAATTGAAATGAAATTCAACGACACCACCCTTTACTCCTACCTTCGACCACACAAAAAAGTTTCCAACTTGTGAATTTCCCAGCTCAAAATCACTCGCTTTGCTTACTGGGTCATCTCCGAGCTATGCGTGGAGCTGAAGGTGGTGGTGGTGGTGGTGGTTGTGCCGTCAGAGGCGGTAATATCTACTGGGGAAGAAAAGAGGAAACTGATTTCAGAGGAATCGTTGTGATCTTTGCTTGGGTTTCTGTTCCACACACCTTGTTAAGGGATTTTGTTGATCTTTACTCCTCTTTGGGGTGGAATTCCCTTGTTTGTTATGCCCATTATCTCTCTGCGTATGTTTCTTTTTTTTTCCCTTGGAATTCCCTCTTTGTTTTTGGGCTTTCAACGTTGTCGTTTCTTTTATCTCTAACTTCTAGGCCAGTTTTTTTATTTTTCTCATTTGATTTTGTTTTTGCTCGAGTATTGTTTTGATCGGTTGTTAGATGGAATCAGGGGAACAACCGTAGAAAATTGCTGGAATTAGTGTTAGAGGAGGATGAAATGTTGAAAAAAATCAGAACTTTATTGCACGATTTGAAGTGGTAAAACTAGGCTGTTGCATATTATTAGTATTTCTTGGTCATGGAAAGTATAATCTTGGTATCGGTTTATTCTGGATGATTTTGAGGTTTTTCTTTCAAATCGTGGTACTTCTGGTACACAGTAGTTGTTTTTTTTTTCTTGGGGTTTATTTGCTTATTTTTTATTTTTCTATGAGCAAGAAGAGAGGCATGGCGCATGGACATACATGCCACAGGCTTGAGAGAGGACAGCTATTGAGTTGTATGTCATATTTGCCTAACCATGTGAAATTATTATAGAAGCAGAAGTTTGGCTTGGAAGATGCTTTACATGTGAAAGTAGTGGAATGCTATTTAATGCCAAACCTTTGATCTTTTGTCGGCACCTTTTCTTAAATTGGGTTTAAGCCATGCATTAGTTTTTGTCTCCAAGTTGTGAAGAAGAGAGGTATTATTATGAAGTTCGTGGATAGTTGGTGGAATGGAAACTATATGCTACCCTGCTTTGTTAAATTGAATTAGAGGGGACCATTCGGTGAAAATGGAATAAAATGTTACTCCAATATTTGATGGGATGCAATCTTTGTCTAGCTTACGCTAAGAAAATTAAGAGACCTGGGTTGGAGAGGTGTAATTATTGACTGGAGGCAATAAATGTTGACTATTTTAAGACAGCTATGGATTTAGCTGCAACTCTTAATGGAAATTTGTTCTCCCATTTTCATATGTTGGGAAATGTCAAAGACTTGCCTGCACATACATTTCTCTACATCTTACATGTTGAAGTGAGCTCTGTGACAAAGTTCAAATAGTTTTACTTCAAGTGCTGAAAAAGTGAAAGGAAAAAGTTCTACTTCTAGTTAGATTGAGGAGATTTAGAATGGAACTGTGATCGTAAGAGTATGTAAGGATAATGGATTGTCAAATATTACTAATAATAACAATATATTAAGTGTACTTGTATGTGGCTTGGTGTTATATGATTTATCTGGCCAAAACTTTAAGAGACATGCTCAAGTAAAGTAACCTACTAAATCTATGTTGAGGTATACTATTTTGTATTTGCATTTTGTTAGTCACTGATCACCACCTTGTTTAATTTGTAATCAGCTGGACATTATTGGATAGGTGCATGATACTGATGGGTTTTTTCATTTTCCTCTCATGCAGATTCCATGATGACAATGCCATGCCATTGGCATTATGTGTTATTGATGAACTTATTAAGGTTAGTTTTAGTCATTTGAAAACATGCTAATATTTATGTTGACGTTCTTAGATGTAAATTTACAAATCTCTGGGTGTCAATTCTTTGCTTGTGTGTCATCAGCTCTAAGTAAAAAGATTCCTCTGAATTGTGCAGGAGCTGAGGACTAGGTCATGTCCAGTTGTATTTGCTGCATTTTCGGCTGGGTCAAAAGCTTGTCTGTACAAAGTATTTCAGGTAATTCTAGGCATCCAATGTTGTGTTTGATTTGGAGAGTATTAAAGTTTGATGTTTGTCATGATCTTTTCAAGTAGAAATGCCCATTGTAATAGCTTTTTGTATAAATGCAGCTTATTGATGGAAGATGTGAAGCTTCACTAAATTTGGTAATGCTCTTTTTCAAGATAAAGAAAATAATAATTCTGTCCTTTATTCATCCTTAGTCTCTTCATTGATTGATGATGTCTTCTACTTTGTGATCATCATGAAATTTAATACTTAATGTTTTTTTTTTAGCCAAACTATCAATGGCTTAGCAACCTTGTTTCTGGACATATATATGATTCTGGTCCACTAGATGTTACAAGTGATTTTGGCTTCCGCTTTGCTTTGCACCCTTCTGTTGCGAAAGTGCCTGGACCATCAAAGCTTGTTTCTTGGGTATCAAAGTCTGTTGCTTCTGGCTTGGATGCTTTATACCTTACTAGATTTGAATCCCAAACTGCTGAACACTGGCAGGCTTTATATTCTTCTGTTGTGAGTATCTATCACCGGAAATCTTTAATATTTTCTATTTTTATTATTTTAAATTGGCTCTGATTTTCACTTTTTGTCTTCAGAATTTTGGAGCTCCATTTCTCATTTTATGTTCTGAGAATGATGACCTTGTGCGATGCCAAAGTATCTATGATTTTGTCCAACGACTACGCAATCTCAATGCTGATGTCAACCTTGTAAATTTCAGTAGCTCCTCTCACCTTGGTTCGTCCTTGACTGATTTTCAACTACATTGTGACAAACTTGGACTGCGTTTAACATTATCATTATTTGTTCCAGGTCATTACAAACACCATCCGATCCAATATAGAGCAGCAGTAAACCATTTATTAGAGAAGGCTGTTTCAATATATTCACAAAAAGTTATACTTGAACGAGAAAGAATTGGTATTGATGGTTCACAGGATGAGATATCTGAGTTAATATGCGACCTGCAGAAGGTGGCTATTAATTCAAACAAGAGCCTAAGAAGAGTTGCAGTAGGACCAAGTGACCATTTCTTTTTGCCTAGTTCAGCAGGGCATTACAGTGATAGAGAATCTGGGACTCCACAAGATGAACAGAAAGAGAAACCTGTTTGTCTGCCTAGCTTGCCAAGCATCAGTGCTCATAGTGTCCTTGGCCAATTTCTTTTTGATGTTTGTGTCCCTAAGAATGTTGAGGGTTGGGATGTGAAATTCTCTGGGAATCTAAATGGGAGGTTATGTGCTTCAGCTCCTAGGCATTCACCTTTCAGAGGTTTTAAACGGATCGGTCGGTCCAGATTATAAAGTTTTTCTCATATCTGACTTGAGGAGATACTTTGTGATAAACTTGTTTGAAACATCAGCAGTTTTCCTAGACATTACACGAAGATATGATAGATCTTGGTGAAATAATTGGCCATCGTGTCTGGCTGTGGAAGTGTAAGGGTTGCAACTTGGAATTGTTCAACTATTAATTCCTTGGCACTTACAAGAAAATGAGGAGTGATATGGGTAAAGATTACTTGAAATCCATCCCATGTGGTTGCCCTTAGAAATGAACAGGTGATCATGACTGTTATCATACTGAAAGGAGAGCTTCTGATGGTCCAACTTGTTGATACTTGGCTGGGTAACTACTCACTAAGTAATTAAATGCATTTACATGAAATGAGATAAAATGTACTGACTTATTGTAGTTAGACAAAGAAAATAGCTGTATATATTATATTATTTTTGAGGGAATAAAAAGTGTCATGCTTGAGGCTGGAAGAAAGTTGTAAATTAGACATGTCTAGCAATGTACAAAAAGGAACAAGGGTTATCATCTCCTTCCCATTTTTACTCGTTTTGTTTGTTTGCAGTTATTATCATCTTAACAATCTTGATGGACAAATGACGATTGCTTAATTATGTGCATAGAACTTTCACAAAAGTGAGAAGTTTCATAAAACTAGTTTGCACTTGTGTAATACACAATATAAATTGTAATATTTAATTTAATATTTTTATTGTAATGATTTTATATTTGTGCTATGATAAACTGAGTAGTCAAATGAAAAATAACTAGATAAAGAATAGTTGTGTATGTAAAAATATTAAAGTAGTACTTATTGTAGATGATAGAAAATTAATTTAGGTAATTTTGATATGCAAAAAGAATCACTAAATACGTCATTGAAAAAAATGAATGACATGATTTTTAGTTTGATGAAAAGGGATAAAGGAAGATTAAAAAGAAATTTAAAATTATTAAAAGAGGTTTAACAATAAATAATATATTATTAAATTTAATTTTTGACTGAATTTAAGTATGACTCATAATATATGTAGATAATTTAACGAGATAAAGACTAATTGTTGTGTATTTTTATATTTATATTTATTATTTATTTAACTTTAGTATAAAATTTTTTACTAAAATTGTTGCATCATTTTTTTTCGAATATTTATTGCAGATTCTTTAACCCATAATTTTTTTATTAACTATTAATTTATCTTCTATATTTGTTTTTTGATTTTGTGTTTTTAGCCTTTTAAATTTTTACTTTTTTTTAAGCCAATTCCCTAACTTATAAATTTTCTATTACATTAACACATTGAAAGAAGAATTTTTAATATTACATGTGAAAGATTAAAAGATAATAGATTTAATAAATAATTTTTTGTTATTTTGTTTACGGATAATATACTCATATATTAATATATTTTCTAATATATTAAGAATTAATGTAATTTTGTTTGTTATCTATTTAAAAATTTTGAGAAAAATTAAAATTAAACAAATATCATGTGAAAATTTTATCAAAATTGTTTTATATTAAATATAGATGTTATTGAAATTGTTAAGCCGATTAAACTACTTGAATAATTATAACTTTTCATTTGTTAAAACAATCAAATCTCTAGCACTACATTGAGCATTCGATTAATCAAAGTTGAGAGAAGTTAAATTATTATGAACAATAGGAGTTTCCTTACGTGTTTTTAGCGTAGTTATAATTCTCAGCAACTCAGTAAATAGCTTTTTACAAGCTCTAAGGTAGAGTAGTTCATGTGCGCGTGTAAATCACCTAAAATTATATATATCATTTTTTTTATTTTACTGTTTTTTCATTTCATTTATTAATAATAATAATAATAATAATAATAATTTTTGCTATTATAATGATAATATCTTTAAAAAATTATAGAATAACGTGTTAATATAATATCTTAAGAATTGATTAATTATAAAATATGTTTAACTAATTAAAATAACTTTTGAATTATTATCACTCAGATGCGTATAAAGTATTGGTGCAATCATATCTGTTGAAGATTTTTCAAAGGTATCACCTAATAATTTTATACTATTTGATGAGAAACATTGCAGCAACACAGTGGAATGCTTTAATAATAATTTAAATAAAAAATAGACTACTCAATGCTCTAAGTTAGATTAGTAATAAGGTCATGAGGATGGTCCCAGGGACAAAGAAAGTTGTGTTAACTTACACGCCACTTGTACTCAATACCTTCGCCTTCAAACGAAAGTTCCTTTGCTCTTTTATTTTTCATTTTTATTTGTTTTTTTTAATTACACATGTTGTTTCTTTTTTCACTCCTTTTTTTTATCCCTTATTGAATATGTATTGTGTAGAAGTGTACCCAATTAATGCAAAGGTGAAGGGAATATTGGGAAGATCCGCGGTTATGACTTTTTATAGCTTTTCATTTAATGTGTTTCAAAATAAAATCTCAATAAAGAAGGAATAGTTATAAATTATTAGTGAGTTAGGAAGTGTATATTATAGTATACAGAATACGAAAAGATTATATAGAAAGTTATTATAAAAGCATAAATATTGGATTAAATGAGAGAATCAATATTTAAAAACAATGTAGCTTTTGCCCCCATGCAGGATCGAACTACAGACCTTCAGTTTACAAGACTGACGCTCTACCACTGAGCTATAGGGGCTTTTTTGAGTTATTGAAATAATTTTAAAATACTAATTAAAAAACTACTTTGCATTTTACGTTTTTGTTTTCACCTTGAAATTTCTCCCATACAATTTGGAATACGTAAATTCTCAATATACCATACGCTAATAATAAAAATTTTAAACTGTTTCTACCTCACCTATATTGAGCTTGCATATATTTTTTTAAAATTAGATGAAAAATTTAATTTATATAATTAACATTATTTTTCACTTTTAATATTTTCAAAACAAATTTTATAATATAAAATTTATCACATTATCTCTAATTTCTCTCTTCTACTTTACTCTTAAATTTTCACGTCACAAATTTATCCTAAAAAAATAATAATAAAAAATTCAAACGCGTCTGTTTCAACTTTAAAAATATTAAATAAAAGAATGTTGAAGTCGTAAATAAACACTTAAAAATATTTTTTTTTAAAAAATATTTTTTTTCAACAGCAAACTGTGAATTATATCATTATTTAATTGACAAAAGTTAACATGAAGTCCAAAATTTTAAAAAAAAAATTAGTTAAACATTAAATAAAAAAAATTTAAGAGGTAGTAATTTAAAATAAACTCTATTTAAAAGTAGTTAAAACATTCATGATGTGAAAATTTAAAAATAAAGTGAAAGAAAAATATTAAGATGACATAACAAATTATGAATTATTGACTAAAATTAACGTATGGTATAGAATTGAAAAAAAAATAGTTAGACAGTAAAATAAAATAAAAATTAATATATAATAATTTAAAATAAGTCTTATTTAGAGATAATTAAAGCATAATAAAAATTATGTATCTTTTCAAGATTCATGTAAAAATTATAAAAATAAGATTTAAATAATTTCAAGTAATTATTCTGTTGGAGATACTCTCTTTGAGAGTTAAAATGAGATTTGCAACATTATGAGGTATGCCTTCAATCAAGCCACCAACCCTGGTCTATTATTATTATTTATTTTTCTAACATATGTAACAGATTAGCAGATATAATAATTTTTTATTAAAAATTATAGCATTTGCTATTACTTTAATAGTTTTACCATATATAACTTTTTTATCATTGCATAAGTTTAAAAAAATATTATTATTATTATTTGGCAACTTGTTTCCTGTCTTTGTAACAGACAAGTTTGTTGTATAGCCAAAGATCATGTTTCATAAAACACATACCTTGGGGCCAGGTTGAAGGCAAGTTTACACTTTAGAGCCAAGTTAGCAATCATTTGAACAACAGTTTCAACTTTTGAAGTAACAATGAAGCAAATAAAGGACATAGTGGCCAGTTTTCACCACTAGTCAAAATAGACAATTGTTTACTGGTCATTACCCATTTTAAACACTAAATCGTATAAGCATTGAGAATGTTACTGATGCAACCAATTTCAGAAGCATTCAACAACAATATCTGGATAAGAGCTGCAAGCTTAACCTCTCTTTTATTTTGAAAAGGATGGAATGTCGTTTGTGTGAGGTCATTTGACATGTCTTGACTCACAATTTGGCCACTGGATGAAGGAAGGTTGGGTCCACGGAGACAACAACCTAGAGAAACTACATCATTAGATTGTTACAGAATAGTCACAAAATCAAAACAGCATTGTATTTGTTCAATACCTTTCCAACACTTTTGCCTGAATGGAGATACTCAACAGCGTCTGCAACAGAATGCAGGCCTATAAATCTCTTTGGATCAAGAGCAACCTGTATGAAGAAACGAGAAAAGTAAAGGAACACATTTTAAAAGCATGGCAAGTGGTAAGTATAGCAACTAGCACATGTCAAATAAATATACTGTTATACAGATAATTTACTGATCTATAAATATGGGATGCATGTAAATTACCTTCAGCTTTCCCATTGAGTGAAGATTAAATAGCCTGTCAAGATGTTCTTGCCACATGTGACTATATTGCACTAGGAAAAAGCCAGCCTGAAAATTTGGAATTATGTGCGAACATAATAAGAAAAGAAAATTACAGAAAAATAAAATGGAACTTTGTACGGGAGATTGAAATTCTTGGAATAAAAGATGTTTCACTTGGGAACAATTAAACAAAAAAGTGGTTGATGAGTTGACTATATCACCTGTCCAAAATTAAAAATAGTTTTGGCCAGAAATTCATTAAACTATATAGGTTATATCAGAAATTTCCTCACTTTGTCTATGGTTTTTTCTCTATTGGTAATTACAGTAATCATATACTACTAATTAGCCAGCCAGTAGAAAGAGAGAAATTTAAATAACTCAATCAGTAACAAAAGCATAATCACATGTATAACTAATTACTTAAAAAGAGCAAGTATTTGTTCTTCCAACATTTCATCATGGCATCAATTTCCGACGCAGAAAACAATCCACTCCTGAATGAGATGGATATTCTTAGCTCCGTGAGTAATGGCTTCCTACTAATGCATAACTTCATCATATTGCTACATACCACAGTTTGGCTCTTCGCTAAGAGCTTCTCACATAGTCCAGGATAGTTTGATGGCGTCCAACCCTTATCTCCTTGATACTGGTATGAATAAAAACAACAAATATGAATCAATTATGTTCATTGACAATATATTTCTTTAAGAGGACAGAAACAGCTTACTGCAATTTATAATCCAGCACACTACTCTTCACACCGGGTAATAGCTTCATAGTACACTCTTATGATAAACTTAACAGATAAATGGAATAGAAAGTCTAACAATAAAAAAGGAAAGAAAGAAAATCTATATTGCAATAGTATAGCTAGCTAAAATCCAAATTTCAATCCAGATATCTGAGATGGGTCACAGAATTCCATGTTCCATATAACTTGTGGGTTTGATAGTGAATGATACTGTTAAGAAACTTAGGCTTAACTCACTCCTAAAAGCTAACTCATAAGAGGAGTACTGTCTTAGCTCTTGTAAGGAGTATTCTCTCTCTATTTCTAACCAATGTGGGACATCTCAATACACACTCCTCACATCTGTAGCGTGAAATTTGCAGTGGGCAGCCCAACCTCCCTCACGCTTAGAGCTGGACATCTGGTGTGTGAAACTTGTAGGGATGGATCCAACAGGATTGGACGTATGTGGACAACCGAATGTTCAACATGAATTGGCTCTAATACTATGTTAAGAAACTTAGGCCTAACTCACTCCCAAAGGCTCGCTTTTAAGAGGAGGACTGCCTTAACTCATATAAAAAGTATTCTGACTCTATTTCTAACTAATGTAGGACATCTCAACAAATACTACAATAACTAAAGTCTAATAATTTCCTCTGTACATACTTAAATGAGGATAAAATCCAAGGTATTACATGAATTTATACTCACTAAATGAGTTGGTACTATCGCTTCAATAGAAGGATAGTTGTGCAGTATACTATAGATGCAGTGAAACTTTCACAAGTGCTGAGGAGGACAAAAATAAGTAGCATGAGAAGATAAATTAAATAAAGAAAAACCTGAGAAATCATGCCAATAACAATGAGTCGTCCATGGACTGCCAAAGCATTCAAGCACAAGTTTAACATGTCACCACCGACAGACTCATAGATGATGTCAATCCCTTTTGGGAATTCTTTCCTTAAAACCTGCAAAATTAAGTAAAATATTCAACATGTTGATAGGAAGCAGTTTACATAATTTATTACAATAAAGACAAGAACCAGAACAGAATCAACAAAGATAAAGATGTCCATTTGCACTTAAATTGGAGCCCTGATTTGAACATTGATTATTCATTAAAGATTTAAGTCATGGTGTTGATTGGTCTTCGGCATGTAAAAGATCATTTTCTCCTTCACTGTTGTATCTTTGCAGCTATGAGTTTTGTTCTTTTGGCAATTATAACCAGTGAGGCTATGTCCAGTGAGTTTCACAGCTTTTGCCGGCAATGTAATAAGTTGATATTGAAAGCTTTGTCTGTTTGATGGCCCATATTTGTTAAAACAAAGTTGATGGTTATTCCACAAAGTTAAACTGCTCAACAAAGATGTGTCATTCCTTCCTGCACAATTTTAAGATGAATTTCTACTTTCCTTTCATTCAACAAAAGGTAAATATTTGTTTTCTGGAGTTCAAGAATTTTCTTTTCATATTTTAGGCTCAACTGGGTTGTTGTTCGTGTATGCCACTATCAGACATGGGTTTTGCATCCTTGATGCCTATTTCTATAGAACAGAAATTGAGGTGTACAGTGGACCAATATTCAGTAGTATCATTGACATATTCTGGAAACCAAGTCTCAAAATTCATTCAATAAAATAGATGAGATAATATAAATAACTCCCATTAAAAAAAAAAATTAGCATCATCTGTTAGAAGCTAAACAGCAACTTGTTGGATATTTCAATAAGCTAAATACATATAGGACCTGAAAACATGTGAATGTCATAATGTAATTGTGTTGATTTTAATGAATTTGTAATTTTAGGGTCTAACCATATACCTTAATATGCCAAAAATGTTGTAGATCATCACACACCGTAAAAACGAGAACTAGTAATAAGGAGTCAACAGCCAGAGAAGGAATTATTTACATAAAAGGACCCATTAACCATCTGAATGATTAAATAGGTTATAAGGATTTTTTGTTTACTTATCTATTTTGATAAAAAAAATAATAATAAAAGCAGCTATTATGGTTAACAGAACCCTAAAAAGAATCAGAGGACTTGAAAACATACCGTTTTTATATCTTCACTATGATAATCTATGACTCTGTCAACTCCCAGCTCTTTCAAAAGCTTGGCCTTTGCCGGACCTCCACAAGTTGCAACCACGGTATTTCCTGCTAATTTTGCTAGCTGTACAATAATCCAAATTACTAGGTCAAGCAAAGAAACTTCTATGCAGAAAAATTATGTACATTTTAGACTAGGAAATCTAGATTGAAACACCTGCCAACTAACTTATCAATTATAGATTTGACCAAACATTGTAATTTTATAGTTTTTTTTTTTCATCTGTTTCTTTTACCCAAAGTAACTTTGCTACTACAATCCACCTGTGATGTCAACTGTTTTAAGTCAAAAGATAGTCCATCTTGACTTTTTTTTTTTTTTTTGTGCTTTTCTTTTTTTCCTAGACATAGGACTTCAATCACCTCCTTTCCAAGCATTTAAGAAGATATGTCAAAAGACCCAGAAGAAATCTTTGTTTTGAATTAGTGGCCACTGGCCAGTTATCTTTGGTCTCGAGGAATCAAGGGTAACATATGTAACAGCTCTTTGTGTGACCTCAAGAACAAGTAATGTGTGCTAAAAAGAGAGAATGAAATAGTATCAATAATTAATGTCTACCAATATAAAAAGAAAGTGTGAAGAAAATACAGCAAATTATAATAAATCTGCTGAATTTTTTGAAAATAATTATGTTGGTTTGCCTAGGCTCTGCCTACTACAGAATATCGAGAAACATCCAATTTGTTAGCACAAATAATTCCTAGAAACATATACAAAAATGCATATTTTTGACAAAAGTGGGACAGGATTTATGATCTACCTGAACAGCAAATTGCCCAGTTCCTCCGGCAGCAGCAGTAACAAGGACCACTTTTCCTGATTCCATCTGTCCTGCCTTTTCAGTGTACAAAAGAAACACTGATCAGGACAAGCCAATCCAGTGGAAGATTAAATGAAACTAAATATAAGATTCACAGAAGGTAGTAAACAATAAAAGCTTGAAATACATTGATAAGTGAGATGACTAGAGTATAAAATAATAACGAATTAGGATACATCTGAAGCAAGGAGACAAATCTTAAATTAGCAACCTTTTCTAGAGAGATTGAGGCAGTTAATCCTGATGTAAGCATGGCAACAACTTCGGGATCTGGTCTAGGCACTGGAAGTGCATGTTTTGAAGGAATCTAACCAAAGTAACAAGACAGTGTCAATAACTTACATCATAATAAGTATAGCCTGATTCACCTCAGTATCATCATATCATCACATCAACTTGATAACCAAACTCACAGTTTTGTAAATAAGCGGAACATGGAAATTCAAATGATTATGTCATTAATATGAAAAATATTAACATTATATTAAGAACAGCCCACCATTGTGAATTCAGCATAGCCTCCAAAAGTCATGACTGCACAAGGCATGCCAATTTTCAAGTCAGTGACAGAATCCCCAACTGCTGCAATTATTCCTACGGCCTAAAATATATCATTAAAAAAATTGTACACGTGTAAGTATAGGTCTACTGAATCAAGTGGTAGACTTCAGATTAAGATATCTAAACACAAGGATATATCTATACCTCAAATCCAGCATCAAATGGAAGACGAGAAGCAGTATCATTGTTGTTGCCACCAAAATAGCGGCCTGAGCTAAAATTTACCTATAATTACTCATTCTTGTTAGAGTTATAGATTAGATATTAAATACATGTTCTAGATAAAGAGGACATAGCCCTTGAAAGACAGTGTGGGTGGGGAGAAGCTTTATATTGTACAAAAAGAAATAATATCACTTAATAGGGATACTTTGTATATTTCCAAGTTATTGAAGTCAAATATGTACACATTAAAATGAGACGACCTGATATCATGAGATTCCACATTTTATCCAGGATTACACCCACCTGACATGTGACATGATAGTTCAATAGTGTTCATTACACAGACACATACCATATATTTTTGTCCCCATTTCTCCTGTCATGCTTAACTCAAAAATCAAAACTATCAAAGCCTTTGATGAGAGAAGTTATCAACCTTTAGGTCCCTTAGACCAAACAATTCCGTGGGTCAAAGTCTCAGAGTTTGTCTATTTGGTTGATTAGTTGAGAACTGAACTCTGCCCTCTTTTGTCATAAAACCAACTTTTGAATAAACATGCTCTTGTAGGAAGTTATACAGGTGAAAAATATACGTGCACACAAAATCTGGCATGTCAGATTTTTACCATTTATTAACATTTTATCTATACATTCTATAAAAATAATATTATGGTCCCCAAATTGTACATGCTTTCTCAGCTAAAGTTTAACTTTATCAATTGAATCCGTACTAGTTCTAGAGGATTTCTAAATCCTTCCATGAACATCCAGTTCAGCATTCATAAAGTTTACACACACCATAAATGTGCATAGTAGGAGCAAACTAAGATGAACAAACAGATAAATCTCAACTAGGCAAACTAGTCTTTGAAGAATCAAATTGAAAACACTACTAGAAAATATTAAATTCTCTAGAAAGCCAAGGAATGGTAAGCCTAGGATCTTAAGTGTAAGGAGATGACAAAAATTTCTTATTATCTTTATGGGTCTTACTTCATAACTCATGCAACTTCTACTTATATAGAAATCTAAGTTAATTTCAACATAATCAAGAAATATAGCACACCTTATTTTAAGGAAGTAGTTCCAAATTAGCATAGCACCTTCATGTAGATATGCATAAAAGTCACAAGCATATTAGATTGTGTATATTTTATAATAAGCCATTTTATTTCTGACTTAAACTTACATTTGCTGACCTAATGCATAATTCTTATAATAAACAATAATTCAACAATGAAGGCTGTGTCATTTTGCCACAATTGAGGCTATTTGTCAGGAAGTTAGTGCTTTTGTGTCACAGAGAGAAAATTAAGAAAATAAAACTCAACAATATACAGACACAAATCCTCTCAGAAAAATATAGCAACTTACATCACTAGCATTCACACCAGCATAAATTATCTTAACAAGAACATGATTTGGTTTGACAGGTAATCTCAGTGGAGCTCTCACTATGCTGGTAGCATTCCGAAAGTTGTGAGTCAAGGTCTTAACAACTCTGCAAACAATAAGCAGCTAACTAAAACCACTAAATAACGCATCTTTAAATTAATAAAATTACGAGAAGAAATAGTCAATTTGAAGATATAAATGAACCCTTTCTAACACTATAGAAATATAAAAACAACTTCGAAAGGCATATATATGTTATAACAAGAGAGATAGTTCAAATACACACATTTTCTCAAAACTCTCAGGAAGTTTAATTGAAGGAGCTTGGAAATCGGATCTTTTCCTGAAACGAGAGGAACGTATCAAGAACTTTGCTTCTTCAGATGGGGTAGGCCAGTACTCCATACCCCGACGATTTGTAATCCATAGGCAATGGCCAGCTTTGCTTTCATCCATAATGAGCTCGAAAGCACCTTGAGAGGTTAAAATACTTTCATATCAAAATATATGTGCGCAATAGAAATATTGACGAATCATTATTATTGACTCGAGACATTCTCATAATGTGTATGAAATATCAAAAAAATGTTACAATTTTCAACCAACAAAGAAACTAGGATTTTAGGTAGACACAAAATATACAGCACTAAACCCTATTAATATTTGTACAAGATAAACCAGTCTTAAGAAATTAACCACAATACTCTAAAACTCAAAAATTTTAGATAAAATAATGATAATATCAGATTTCGTTTTAGATATTCTAACATTCTCCCTCAAGCTAAATCTTAGTAAGGAGGATGTCTGATGTCTCATTCAAAGAAAGGAGTATCAAGAATAGAGTGAGGAGATAAGGCCAAAGTGCGTAATAAAAGTCAACTAAGTATTCTCCTACAATGTGAGGATAAGAAAAGCTTACATGAGCTGTAAATTTTTTTTTTCTTTAAATTATACATTTAAGTCCTTGTAACTAACACTTGTCTAGGAAATAGTTTTTATACTTACAAAAGTTACGTTTTATTCCGGTCTTTTGTTTATATTTTGGTTCTCGACGTAACAGAATACTCGGGTAAGAATTAAAATATAAGTTTTCTTATGTGTAAGAACTAATTTATTAAAAAATGTTAACTAAAGAAATCAAATGTATATTAACTAGAAATAAAAAAAAAATTTAGTACACATATTTAGAAAAAATTTAAAATATACTAAATAAAAGAATTGTGAATTTAAAAAAAACTAAAAATTCATATATTTAAGTTAAAAAATTATTTATGATATATATATATATATATAACTTATTGATTCATTAAATACATCAATCAATTAAAAAATAATAATTATAATTAATAAAATATTAAGAATAATTCACATATGATGAAGATTTTTTATTATGATTGAAAAAAAAGATGAAATATACCGAAATATCTTTTTTATAAATAAAATATCCAATTAAGAGATAAAGTGTCATTACTAATAAGATTTTGAGTCAATATAATAAAATCTGTTAATTTATATTATAAGAGAAAAGTAACAAATTCATTCATATAATCAATTTGATCTTTTAAATTTCTAGCAACAACATAATTTCATATCTCAAATATAATACATATTTTATTTATGATATAAAAATTTTTATTTTTTAAAGATATTATAAAAATTGATATAACATATAAAATTATAAACTTAATTAAGTGTAGGTTGAAAAAAATGCTAGATATGCTTAAATATTTTTTTTATAAATAAAATATCTAATTGATAAATAAAGTATCATCAAAACTAACTAATGAGATTTTGAGTCAATATAATAAGAATTGTTTACTTGATAGAAAAGTTACAAAATCATTAATATAATAAATTTGATCTTCTAAAATTTTGAGTAACAGTATAATTCACATCTCAAATATAATAAATATTTTATTATGATACAAAAAAAATATTTTTTAAAGATATTATAGAAATTAATATGCCTTAGACAACCGATGTAGAACTTGTCGAAACTTTTTATATAAACTACATATAACAATATTGTGTTAAGCTTATGTTGTTAGCATTAGACAAAGTTATTAGAAGAAACATTTTGATTAACTAGACTATGATAATTTTATTTTTGACTAAAGTCAATGGCGTTGTGTGACACTATAACCCATGTAGCAAACTTCATCATCTAGTAAGATAAAACTTGGTTGTTGTCATAAATGTTTGGTCTCTAGAAAAATTGCACATTTTAGACTTAGTCCTTATTTTGTGAAGATATAATCTTCACTTTTTCACGATCTATTATTTTAATTCTTTCAGCTAATGTGGTCTAACTGAAAGCTAATACTTGATAGTATACCATGTTAACTTAAAAGATTAAAAATAATAATTTGTAAAAAAGTAAAGATTATATCTTAAGAAAAAATTTATAGAGAATAAATCCAAAATGTACATTCTGTAGAAACCAAACACTTAATTAAGCAAAAAAATATATTATATATAAATTGATATAGTTACATATTATAAAATTATAATAAAAATGTTAACGTTGATATTTTATTTATAAAGGTAGGATGAAAAGTAAAATATAAAATTAAGTGAAAAATCTTTATTAGTCAAGAATTAAATGTTACGAAGATAAGATTAAATTATAAAACATATTATTTTCAACTAAATTTAGTGTACTGTATTTTTTTAAAATTATAATTGATTAAAATATATATTTAATTTCTATATTAGACATGTTTACGAATTAGTCTTTATAGTTGAAAAGAACTTAAGTTTTAATCCTTATACTTAAAAAAATTAACCTTTTAGTCTCTTAACAAATATTTTGATCCGTTCCATAATTAACACCTTTATAAGGGTAGAGACTAAAACGTAACAAAAATTTGTACAGGAACTATAAATGTAACATTTTTAAGTATAGGAATTAATTCATAGACATGCATCAACTGCAGAAACTAAATGTATAGTCTAACATTTTTTAAAACTCGCCCCATAAGCTCTTTCAAACACCTCCTTAGGCAATGGTAGGCAATAGACTTCATTTGGGACTAGAAGGAGAAACAAACTACAACTCGGAACTAGTCACCATCCGAAATGATAGTTGGTAGGAAGAGAAATCATCAATGAATTGTTAGTAGGTCCTTAAGTTGCATCAATGCCTAAGTTTCAATGCACCACCAACTCCATTTACCAATTTAGCTCTTTCTTGCATGTGAAAACCCACAGATTCTTCTCTCCAATGCTCACCTCACTGTGACCAATAATATACAATCATTTTGATTTAAGATTAAAAAATATGTCATCCTTTTTCTCTCTCTCCTCTCAAACACACCCTAAGACACTAAAATGATATTGTGAAATACTTTCTAAATATCTTTAATAGAAATGACGCACTTAAACACGTTATATTATCTTAGGAGATGTTCATGCAATGCAATAAGGGGTCATGGAAAGCTAATCTACCATACCTCTGAAACTTCTTGCAATATTTACCATATAAAGCAAACCTCTACAAATTTGTGAATTAGTAAAATAAAAAGTACAGGCACACATACCCACCATCTTTTTGCCAAGCCAAATGAGAAAACAAAGATGTATATAGTTACCTTTAACCACCATTTCCATAGGTACAAAGCCCCCTACCAACTTGATGAAATTGGATTCCATCATTAAGCCCATGTCAGTTTCAACAAACTGCAGAAAGCTTTCAGCGTTATAGTAAATTGTAGCAAAGCATTACAAGAAATTTCTCCTTTGAAAACCAAAACAGATTTAACACAAGTTGGTCCAAGTGGCAACACGTTTGGTTGCAACCAGGTCTTGGGTTCAAGACTCCTGAAAGGTAAAAACAAGCGCTGGGAAAGCTTCACCCCCTAATTAAGTCCATCTAACTCAACTCAAATTAGTTGGGTCCAAAGTGGCTTTTAAATACCAGAATCTCGATCCAAAAAATGGAAACACATTAATGATTTAACAAAAGAAAACTTATAGTGGAAGGAAATTTTTAAAAAAAAAATCAAGTCAATCTCAACAAAGTATTTATATTTCTACATTAAGATTAATAATATAAACAAGAATATTCATTCTTCAAATATAAATCTTACCTCAGGGCAAAGCACGTTGACTCGAATTCCTTGACGTTTGTATAGACGAAGTGCTCTAGAAAACATAACGACACCACCTGCAGAAGTATAGTAACATTTTAGGAAGCAATATAGTAACATAATTTAAATAAATGCTAGAGATGGAGATATAAAACCCATTATTTAACTCTCACTGAAAAGCTAAAATTATTGGTTTTATCTTTATTTGTCCTTGGATGCAACTTTTCCGTTAAAAGCTATCTTTATTATAAGTTTTTAAAATATTAGTCAGTTCACAACGAAGGCATGCGAATATGAGTAACTCTTTTTTCTTTCTGTATTTTTGGGATGCACAAGAAATTTTAATAGGAAAAAAAAAGGAGGTGCAGCTCAGAGGATCATAAGATAATCACATAATTTTGATGATAGCAAACCCCATTCTCACAATTAAATTTTGAATAATGCCAGAAATAAAAAGAAATAATGGAAAATCACAATAAATAGACAATGTACATAAAAACTTGTGTAGAATTATGATGTCATAAAAACAGAATTCTGTAAGCCAGCTCCATGAATAGCAGTTAAATTTAGGACAAGTCCAATGGTCATCCACGCAAATGCTCAGGTTAATAGCTTCACTTAAGTTGAATTGTTGTGAGACAAGTTTATTTTTCTAAATTCCACAGAAAATTTTCAAGGAATATACCCTAATCAAAGGTGGTTAATGACAAACCTTTAGAGCCACTGTAGATTGGATCAGCAACCATTGGATAAAGACCAGAAGCAGAACCCATGTTGATAATCACACCAGGCCTTTTGGCAGCTTCCATGGTTTTAATCTATTAAAGTGAAGATAATGCATGTCAACAACAATCAATGGTTTTAACCCCTTTTGCTTCCTTTGAACAGCAAAACATGAACTTATAAACAGAACAACATTGGTTGCATTTTACTTGTTTATATTGATGATATTGTTATTACAAGTAGTGATAGTGAAGGAATCACCAAGCTAAAAACATTTCTTCAAACCAAGTTTCAAACTAAGGGACTGAACATCCTAAAATACTTCCTAAGCATTGAAGTTATGAAGTCAAAGAAATAGATCTTTCACAGAATAAGTGTGTCTTGGATTTGTTGACTGAAACTAACTTAAAACAGGCTAAACCATGTGAGACACCCATGGAGCCAAGAGTGAAACTAACAGCAAATGGAATCCCATTTTCTAATCTATAGAAATTCAAAGGATTGGTTGAGAAGCTGAACTATTTAACTATATCTAAGTCCGATATTGTTTGTTTAGTAAGTGTTGTAAGTCAATTTATGTTCTCTCTGATTGACACTCATTGAGAAGCACTTATTCATATTGCTAAGTACTTGAAAAAGGCTCCAAGAAAGCATTTGCAATTGGAGGCATTTTCTGATGCTGACTGGGCAGGATTTCCCACAAATTGCAAATCTACTATAGGATATGTGTTCTTGGGAGGTAATTTGACTTTCTAGAAAAGCAAGAAGCAAAATATGGTGGCCATATTAAGTGAAAAAGACAAAGCAAATCTTAAAAGCTAGTTAAGAAAATCTTGGAAGAGATGAAATTTGGCAACACTAGTTTTATGAAACTTTGTTGTGACAACCAAGTTGCTATTTACATTACATCGAATCAAATTTTTCATGAAAAGATGAAGCATATTGAAGTGGATTGTCACTTCATTCAAGATAAGGTTTAGAAGAATCTTCTATCTATCCCCCATGTTAGAACAATTGATCAACTAGTAGATGTGTTTACATATGCATTGAATGAAATATGTAGTGATTTTATTTGTAACAAGTAGAGTATGATTAATATCTATACTTCAGCTTGAGGGGGAGTGTTATGAGTAGTCATAAATGAACATGGTCCATTAGGGTTTTCTATGTACATCTTTATTTGTCTATAAATAAATAAATAATATATATATATATATATATATATATATATATAATATTCTAGTTCACTCACTCTCTCTATGTATATGTATGCCCTCTCTCTATCTTGATCTCCTTACAATGCAAAAAGAAATTTTAATATTTATCACTAAGAATGTGAATGGTGAACTAACTTTCTTTTAGCAGCATCAAGTAAATATTTAATTAAAGGATATCAGAAAAATCAGGTCATAGATTAAGATTACCGCAAGGCGAGTGCTATCTATAACGGAAGTCAAATTCACATTAACAGTGTGTCTCCATGAATGAGTGCCATCCGTTTGATCCTTATGCAATGGTATAGGATTACCAATCCCAGCACTGTTAATACAAATGTCTAGTCCTCCATATGTCAAAAAGTGCTTCTCAAATGCAGCAGCTAGATCTCCTGTTGATGGCTCTGAATTAATATGTCTGTGTACACTTCTAAGGGCAATCAAAACAAAAAGTGCATTTAACAATTTATGACATTTATATGCATATATTATGTTACTTCATGATAATTGGAACACAAGGAAGACAAGATTCATTGTACATATTACGAAACATAATCATTTGCTTTCTACCATGTGAATATCTATAAATAACTATACTCCGCCACACCAAATGAAAACACTATATTTGCATCAAATAAAAACAAAGGAAAGTTTGATAAGGAGCTTAAATAGACCCCAAAAGCAAGCAATTCCAAATAAACAACTTCCAGCAAGGGGAAGTCTGCTGTATATCTTGCTAATAGACAATAGCCCTCTTACTTGCATTAGTCACATCGCATTTCACAAACATGGCAGATGGAAATTCCAACTTAGAATGAAACTTGGTGTTAATTTTCTGAACAAGGCTCGCAACTTGTCTTCCCCTTTCTTCAGCAAAATCAACAATTGTAATAAATACACCCTTCTCTGCAAGGGCCAGGGCAAGACCTTTGCCTGTATAAAAACCAGAAACATAGAATCAGATTACACGCTTTAACTGCATAAGTAAATCATGCTTGTGCATCACGTGATATAAACTAATCTGCACCAAGCAGATTTTTCTTGCTCTCAAACACAAAAGCGGGTAACTAAATTAACCAAAGAATAGAAGATGAAGTCACAAGTTATCATTCTTTAACTAATCTGTAACCAAAGCCTTAGTACTAATTCTTTCATACGAATAGGATTGAGTCGTTCAATTACTAATAGTTGTTTGAACACCTTTACAATTAGTTCCTATGTCTTAGCTTCCGAATTAGACTACGGATTCTTTTTAAAACGGCACAAAAGAACAAAGTGCTTCCGCGTTTCATTCAAAAGACCGAGTTAAAATCAATAATTCAGTATTGCTCTAGTGTTGAATCCAGAGTGGCTAAAATCTCCACATCGAGGTTTGATTAATCAGTTCTTCAAGTCAACTGAAGCTTGTTTGGAATATTTGAATGAGGAAAACGCGATGATTGAAAGGTCAAAGCGGAGAGTATGATAGATATGATTATGAATGGCGTGCAGGTAAACAAACAGGGATTACCGATTCCAGAGGCACCACCCGTAATGAGTGCTGACAAACCAGGTTTGATCTCCATTATCGTTCTTCTTCTAATGTGCTGCTGTTGTGACCCAAAACGATGAGATTTATGACAAGAGTGAGACAAGATGGTTGTAACTCGTCATATCCAAAATCCAGGGTCCACTCCTATTGGAATTTATAGGGAACGAGGATGGTTAGAAAACTCTCTTTTTAATCGTAGGCGGAGGGATTATTAAAAGCTACAAAAGCAAAAAAGAAATTGAGAGCCAGATTCATATTTATTTTATAATTTTTAATAAATTTTTATTAATATGATATTTGAACGAATATGTAAAGGAATATATTCTCGATTTTCTAATTTTTTTGGTGTGAAATATGTTAACATATACAGTTTTTTAGAAATTAAATCTATGAAATAAATACCAATAAAAATTAATCGTATATCATAAATTTATAATGTGTTTAAAATTTTTTTAACGTTTATTTAAAGACATACAGTAAAAATATTCATATCACAAGATTTAATGTACCGACAATATTTAACATTATAATTTATAATAAAATTTATTATTTATTAATTTTTCAACATATATTATTGGGCACACATTGGAAAATTTGATTATAAATGATCTAATTAGTAAATTATATTAAATAAATTAATATATTAACTTATGAAACAGGTAAGTATCTCATTAACACTGATTTCACAATAAATAAGTATAAAAAAATTAATGTATCTAAAAATGAATCTTTATTTTTCATAATTTTAGAAAAATGATAGTATTCAATATAAGACTTTTCCTAGGTTTGGGAGTATCTATTACTTTTTTATATATTTATCCTTCGTTGTTGAAACTTTTTAATTTATTATAATTAGCCAATTTTTTAGTGACTGTCCAAGAATGCACTGTGAAAATTTAAAGAGTTCATTAAATGGTATAAGATTTTATTGCCTTCGCACGTGTAATGAATCTATTTAGCAAGAGGTCGTGTGTTAAAACCTTATCATGTGCAAATTTTTTTCAAATTAGTCATAATCATGGGCCATAAACAAGAATTACTCTTGAATTCTTTAACCTCGGAAAGACCACATGTTCTCTAACGTTGGGCCAAAAATAAAACACACAATTAAAAATTAATAAATATTAAATTTTATAAATTTTATCATAAATTATAAAATTTAATATTATTAATGTGTTGAGTTGAATAATATTATGTAATTTTTAATAAAATTTTTATTATATATCATTAGACTCGCATTTGATAAAATTAAAAATTACTACAAGAATATAATGTTTGACTTTAATTAAGAGTGAATTTAGAACATTGTAATTATTTAAAAAAAAATCAATGTATAAACTATTTTTAGTAATTTTTATTAATATGTGCGATTTAATTTAAAAGTTTTTGTAATTTATGAAAAATAATAAGATTACTCATTGTTTAAGAGCCTAACAACACAAAAAAAGGAGAATTACAATCATCAAAAGTGATTAATTGAACATAAATTTGTATCTAAAATTATGAAATAATTAGTTTATTATATTAATTAATCTATTAATTTATGTTTATGTTAGGCTAATTTTCTTATGCATAGTAACAAACACACAAGACTATATTAGGAAGCAAAGATTAGAGAAATGGAAATAAAAATAAATCAATTATGTTAAATAATGAAATTAGCATGCCTAGTACTATTAATCCAAAATCTCTATAAATGACATGTTTAAGTTTAACACGCTTCTATGTTAATGTACATATTGTAAAAGTTGCACTCTTTGTTCAGCTATAAAGATTTTTTCATTCTCTTTTGTTCGAGTCATGTGTAACTAAATGTTTCTCACTATAGGACTAAGCTGGATACTTGAGATGTAACATTTGTGAATCTCAGATTAAATTTATGATATTGATATTAGATGTTTAATCAAAATTATTTCTTTGTTTTTATATAACTATTGATAAGGTCATTTAAGGGTTAATCACAATTATCAATTGATAGACAATCATGCCTTTAATAGGTTGACAAATCTAAGAGATAATTAGGTATTAAGGTATCAATTTTTTTACTAATCTATCAATTAATTAATTAAATGTAATAGATATAATGAGTCTTAATGCTATTATTTTGTGTTAATTTATATGATCATTAGAGTAGTATTCAAATAAAAATATTATCACTTTTCTATGATCATTAAGTAGTTATTAATATTAATTAGTGATTGATGATCAAGTCAATATAATGGAGTAAAATTGAATTGGGTTATATTTAAGTAGTCACAAGAGGAAATTGAAGCTCATGGCATTATTCAATACTTTCTAATTTGTAGTGCATGTTTTTTATTTATTCATTAAAACCATTAATAATAACATCTTAAAATCTCTTGATATTTAATTTATTTAATATTCATTAAATTTTAGTACTGGGTGATTGTAAATATAATCTTTATAGAAACGATACTAGAAGAATTAAAAACACTTCATATAATTACAATTGATAAATATATTTTCTTAATAGTTTAAAGCTTTTTGAAAATTATCAACCTTAATAGTGATACAATAATGTTTCAATGCATAATAACTACATATCAAAGCATGCTTAGTCAAAATAAGTAAATAACAAAACAAACAAGCAAACCATTTAATCATGGTCATCTTTATTACCATAATCAAACCATTCATTTCAAGCAAATTTTTTTTTACCTACACCCTTTCATTGTCCTTTTTTTTTTTTTTTTTTGCTTTATCTTGATTCAAGGTTTTGTTGATGAAACAATAAAACTCCTTAATAAATAAGGAAAGACATTAAAAAATATTAATGGAGGTATTTGTACCATAGATTGGAGTTAACTACGATGGTTTTGATAAATTAAAAAAATTAAAAAAATTAAAAAAAATAATTAAAAAAAAAACTAGTGAGTTGATGGAGAAGGAAAGGCAAATATGGTGATCAAAGGAGAAATTATGTTAAAAAAATAAAGGAAGAAAAAAGAAAAAAATTCATAAAAGAAGGAGAAAAATTCATTTATAATGGATAAAAGACTATGAGAAAAGGAGATAATCCCTATAAAAATAAGGGGAGGGGTGAGAACTCTAAATAAGAAAGTAAAGTGATAACCAATGTTTAAATATTATATTTCTTATGTCGTGAGATATTTGCTTCAAAAGATAATTTTAAAATAATTTTAATCAACTACATGTGTATATATATTTTAATAAAAATTTCAAAATAACATATTATATTTAAAATATAAATTAATAATTACATTTTTACATTATTTATTTTATTAGTTTTTCTTTCATTTTTGAAATTAATAAATAAACTATTTAATTTTTATTTACTGATAAAGGGGGAACAATGAAATTCTAGCTATATTGTCAAATTGTAAATTTGTAATGTATGTATATGGCCTCTTGTTAAGGGAGGAAAATGGGGTCAGGACCTAAAATAAGGAGTGGGGACGAGGAAGATACTGAAAAGGATAATTGTTTCTCCAACCATTATGCTTCAACCATGATTTGAGAAGTTCGTGCAATACACTCCTAAAGAAAGAAGAAATATTCAAAAAATAATAGAATTGCAATATAAACTTTTGTAGCCTCCTCACCGAAATTTCTGGCTAAAGTTCATACTTAATTGCCCAAGATACTACAACAACTTATGATTGCAATGACATAAGAACCCTAGCCAAAATTTTGGTAAAAGTAAAAACACTGTATATCTAAGTACTTACTAATTTCTAATGACATCTCCAAGGGGATGATCCTACTATCTTTTGATATCAATATTGAACGAAATATCCAAGATGCAATAGTATATGCTGAAGCACACTTAAAGAAGGTTAGAGCAACTGTTCTTTGGAAACCAAATTCATATATGTTCCGGAACTTGATATTCACGGGTGTTGCATATTGGAAATTAAGAGCTTGTTTGATTTGTTTTTAAAAATAATTTGTATTATATTTTATTTTTGTAAAAAAATATATTTTTATCAAAAGTAACCAGATCAACCTTATTAATATGATAATTTTCCCGCTGCTTGATAAAACAAGGGGGTATTTTACGTTTTTTAACTCATGTAATAATTATTATTAATTACAACAATTAATTTAGTTTAAAATTTTTAAATTAATTTGTCCAAATAAAAGAAATGTTAAAGTTAATTCTTATTTATTTATTTTTTCTTCTTTTAGGATAATACATATGTTTTACATTTTTGCTCTGTTATCATATGTTTTTACATTTAACAGAGCTAAAAACCCTTAATAGTATTTATTTGTTGTTAGGAAAATTATTAATCATATAATAAACTGAATTTTTAAATAAAGTTATCATTATTAAAATAATTAAGTAATAAAAAGAGATTTATACATTTATTTAATTATTCAAGGGATACATCAATAAATAAAATTTCCTTTTCAAAATAATATTATCCTATTTTTTAATAAATTACTTTTACCTGACCAATCCATACAATAACTCCCGCATGGACAACTCGGAAAAGACACAAGAAGAGAATGTACCAAACACGATTGATCACTTAAACAAAATAGCAGGCAAATGGACCGAATGAATTAAATGACAAAACTTAAATTTTTTTAAGTATTATTAGTGTTGTTTATTAATTATTATATTTTTATTTAATAAAATTTATATTTTAAGTTTAAATAATACTAATAATATTTAAATAATGGCAAAGTTTTTTTTTTTCTTCTGACTTAAATATAAAATTCAATTTTTTTTGTTCTATTATTACACATATTTTACAACCCCATAAATCTTAATAAAAAACTAAGACAAGCAGATTTAAATTATTACTAGGAGCTTTTAACTCTCCCTAAAATGGTATCGAAATTTTGTATTTATTTGAATTATTTACTTGAGTTTGTTTTTATGTCTTGAATTATTTGTTAGGCACGGCCACCTGCTTTGTATCGTTCGGTGCTTGCTTCGGTGCCTTCTCAATTTAATGAACTAGTGTATTGACCGTGTGATCCGCGAGGGTATAAACTATAGAAGTATAAATATTTAATTATTTATTAAAATATAAATTAATTATAAACTGATAATATAGTTTACGATAAAAGAGAAATAATTATATATAAAAACATAATACAGTTGAAAAGAAAAATAACATTTACTTAAATAAACA